CTGCCATACAGGAGGCCGTCACCACTACAACACAATTAGTGAGTAAGTTACGGGATCTTCAAAAATTACTTGTGAATAGTTAAAAAAAAAAAAGCTAAATAAATATAAATTAAAAATATATATCAATAAAATAAAAAAATCCAAATCACAGATGACACAAAAAACTAATCTAAATTAAATTAAATTAAATTAAATAAAACACCAAAAGCTCTGGTGACATAATAATCCAAAATAATAAATTAAAATAAAATAAAATAAAAACTATGACATCTGAATTCCTACTAACCAGGTCCAGATACGCCATGCACATATCCAAATTGTCCCTCCTGCTCCTCATCTCGGATCTTGGGAAGCTTGGAGAAGTCCATTTTGAATGTGTCTGATACAAAATGAAATGAAAAAAAAATAAATAAAAAAAACTTACTTTCTGGACTTATTTCTACACTTCTGAACATTCTGCACAATACACAAACTGCACATGATTATTGTGATTCATTTATATATTAATATACAGGTACCATCATATAGTTAAATATGTTTAAAATGTATAAATGTGTTTAGTGTATTATTTTTCTGTTATCATTTTATATGTTTTTATCAGAATGATTTGCAGTAGTAATAATAGCAATTTCCAGGACAGGAGGTTGTCTATTGTGTAAACAGCCCATTTATACAACATGTATATGCAGGACAAACATGGAACACGGTCACATGACCAAGGGCACATGACACTGACTGTAAAACAGAAACCATGTGAGGAAGTTGGGAAAACAGACAGTTGAGCAAATCTGGAGGGGGGTGGGGGGTGGGGGGAGTGTTTTGTAGTGGCAATTTATGACAGATCAAATCATTTTTCGTTGAGAACCAGCCAACTAAACACCCGAAATGGTCTGTAAAAGCAATGCATGACACTGACACCTTCCTTCATAAAAGTAGCCAACTATATTTCTTGCTATTCAAAACCTCAAGAGGAAGCAGTCTAACTTCCAGGTTTTTGTGAATTTATAATCACATGATGCTCCTATGACATCTGGGATTGCTGGGGACAAATGGTCCATTTGGTATTAAGAAGTATGTTCAGATCAGAATTTTGACCACAGGCGAAAAACTGAGTTCCGTCAGTACAGAAAAATCCTTAAGGACATGTGGTCTGCAAACCTAGCATGCTGTTGTTAAAAGGAAAACAGCAGACGGCCGATGTGTGTCAAAACCTAGTGAGCTGCCTTCTGACCTATTGCCTATTTGGGTATCAAATATCACAGTGCCCAAATACAATCATCTCTACAGAGACAAAGATGAGAGGACTAAATAAAGGCTATTAAATATATATTCTCCAGATGTATTCAAAGATCGTTTAATGCTTGTAGCTGTTGCACGCACTGGATCTCGAGCTGCGAAGAGATGCTGCATGATCACATGATCACGAAGCTGCTGATAGAATTTGACCTTTGCTGAAAATCTAAGCTAAGTTTTGTCTCCCATTAATTAAAGCGAGTAATGTGATCCATCTCATGTGTTCGTGAACACTTAAATCCATCATATAGATAATATACTGAAATTCTCCAGCAATCTGTTTAGCATCCAAGTGGGTTATTCCCAGTGCAGCAGGGAAAATAAACATCTAACGATTCCAATCAGCTGCATGCAGAGGCGAAGCGAGGCGAGCAATGATTCGGCGACACAAGACAGTGTACAGCAGTAAAATAAGCTGACGCTGTTATATGATTATTAAAGAAAAAACTACAAAGAGAATTTGAGAAAATCATATTTTCTGCTTGATAAACCTAACAAGTACACTTCTGCAATACAATGCTTTCAAGCATAACATATATATATATATGATTATCATTTCAAAGATTAGTAAATACCTCAAAAACCGAGACAGTCCTGTGTCCAGATCCTTTGGTGAGATGAGACGTGAGGAACGAGAAAAGTCAGCTGACTTCATTCAGTCGAGAGCTGTCGTCACAGCACGTTCTCCCTCTGCAGAGTGAACAGCGTGCGCAGAAAACTCTGTATCGCCCCCTACTGTGTGCTGAAATAGTGTTACTGTGATTTACTGATGCTTTGTGCATTGTCCTCTAGTCTGGTGTCTGATAGCTCTATAGCAGGGATCCTCAAATCTGGCCCACGAGATCCACTTTCCTGCAGAGTTTAGCTCTAACCCTAATCAAACACACCTGAGCATGCTAATAAATGTCTTCAGGATCATTAGAAAATCACAGGTAGGTGAGTTTGATTAGGGTTGGAGCTAAACTCTGCAGCGCATTGGCCATCCAGGGCAAGATTTGAGGAACCCTGCTCTATAACATATCCAACAAACAAGGAAGACTCGTTCTTTTTCACACGTAAATATTTTCATTTCTAAAGGCTGAGAATTTGGCAAAATCAGTGGCAAAATCCCCACAAAACATGTAGATTATGAAGTTAAGGCCAGTGTTCGGGGTAACGCATTTCAAGTAACGCGAGTTGCGTAATCAGATTACTTTTTTTCAAGTAACTAGTAAAGTAACGCATTACTTTTTTAATTTACAAGAATATATCTGAGTTACTTTTTCAAAAAAGTAACGCCAGTTACTTTGTTTTCCCATTTATTGACTGACAAGTCTCCTGTCCCCATATTGGGAGAAATCGGAAGTGCAGAGGAGTTGTGTGCGCTGTGTGAACATGATGTTACTGTAGTTCTAGACTAAATGTGAATGTGCATTAATTTATCCCACTCACAAAAAACAGATTTAGTATTCATCAAAATGAATTAAAACTCAGAATATGATGCAAACCTGCAATAATTAAATATGTTAAATTAATTATTATATGTAGAATGCAAAAGTCTTTTTTCAGTCTAATTTGTTTTTTAAATGCATGTTAATTCTGACAATATTGCTGTCTGAATGCTTCCTATTTGATTGAGATTTTTCAGTGATGGTGTTACAGTGATTTGGCATTGCATGATATTTGTGTGTGTGTGTGTGTGTGTGTGAGTGTGTAAGTGAATGAGCTGAGGATTGTCTTGCTGGGGAAGGATGCACTAGCAAACAACAGGAAATGCAAAAGCATTTCATACAAATACTCTGAAAAGTAATTACTCTTAATTTACAGTGCATCTTTTTTTTCAATATAATGATCATTATACTGGTCCTTTACTTGTCTGAGTAAAAAAGTTACTTGTCCAAAGAGAAAGAAGGAATTTATTGCGGGTTAACTATTATTTATTCAGAAGCAGTATTCTCATCAGTGTTCTATCAGTGATGTGCTAGCTGGCAACAGGAGAGGCGTGATTAGATTAGACCATGAAAAGAAGACAAATGCATACAAATGTAATGCACTTGTATGCTTTTGCAGATATGCCATGATAATTTGCATGTGGTGTTAGACATTGTTATGTAATTGTGGTAAAGTAGTGCGCCGCATTTTCACTCCCAGCCTTCAGACATTGCCATCTCTTTTTTTCGCCCGTGTTCCGAAAACGCCTTAAAATGCCTAATATAATCTACCGTCAGATTAAACCATATGCCAGTAAAAATGGCACGATTTAAGTCCGTGCCAAACTGGATCGTGTGTCGAATCTAAATCCGAAAATGTTGAGTCAGTCTTCAAGTTGCTACCTTACCTTGGTTAGCCAGCCACGTTTATATTCCTATGAAATGATCTCTCGTGGATCCTGAGGCCGTTAGTTTGCAATTAAAGCTTGTTACTGTCATGTTAATGTTCATATGTGTGAATATTTTGATGTAAATGTGGAAAGATGGGAAACACGTGATGGAGTGAGCTTAGCCGCATAGCATACTGAATATGACAGTTCTTAGGGGTTTAAGGCACTTCATGAAGGTTGTTACTTGAAGTTTAGCGTATAAATAATACACATGTTGTAATAAATGTATAAGACAATTTTGCGTTATGACACTAATGCGTTAATATCTCACACAAGTGATTTGCTTTGACCATGTTTAAAGATAAAATTAAGTCGTGTTGACTGTCTAATTCTTTTTAAATACCCTTCATCTTAAGTGTTGCTTTAAATTCAGTTTAAAATGTACATCTTTACCACAGTGGTACCCAACCCTGTTCTTGGAGGGCCTCCCAACAGTATACATTTATCTGACACACCCATTACAGATCTCTGATGTGAATCAGGTGTGTTTGATTAGAGAACCATCTAAAATGTGTATTTTTTTTGGGGGGGGGGGGGGGGGTCCACAGTTTTAACAGTCTGAAATTGTCTAGAAGGCCATTTGATAGTATTTATATGATCTGTCAGGATTTACCCAAAAAGGGAGACTTTATCTCCACTCAAGCTTGCAATGCATTTAGAGTTGATGATTGGGAATCACAAGGTTTTGTTGTGTAATGTAATGGTCATCCTCTGTAAACCACTTTTAGGGCCCATGTTTTTCTCCTGTCACCACATACTGGTTGTTTAAGTGGCAGCGGTGAGCACATGACCAGCAGCTGTTGCATGCTGACCTCCTATAAATACCAACTTTACACACTGCTAGTTTACAGTCAAGTTGACCCAAGAAATGTTTTTGTGAGTGCACCAACTAGAAAGAAAATAGTAAATAGGGAAGCACTGATATTTAAAAAAAATAATAATAAGAAAGGAAAAGAATAAGCAAAAAAAAAAAAAATTTTGGCTGATATTAAAATTCTATACTATTTTCTCTAAATTAAAAAAGAAACTCTAAAAATAAATCAGTTACTTTAAATGTAATTTAGTCATCACATTTTGATAGAATACAAAAACTGCATATTCGTTTTGAGATTTTCTAAAAATTACAGTTATTAAATTACTTAACGTGACCGTTACATGATGCCAAAGGTAATGAAAAATGTTAAAATAGGGAAAATTATGAACATGCATCCATCTGCTGTATATCCAATATCGACTGATAACTGATATGGTACCAATTTATTGTGTATTCCTACTAGTAAAGCTGTATTCGTGTTATTTTTAGAGACTGTATGCTTTACTGATGTGTAGCGTCTGCACAGCTAGTTGACCATTCTGCTTTTGTTCTAGTAGCCGGATCGAGTTGGGGGACGTTACACCCCACAACATTAAACAGTTGAAGCGTCTGAACCAAGTGATCTTCCCTGTCAGCTACAACGACAAGTTCTACAAAGATGTTCTTGAAGTAGGAGAGCTCGCCAAGCTAGGTAAGAAACAAAGCTTCTGTGACATCCTGTTGATTCTTTGGATATTAGTCAATGTTAAATGTTGTTCAAAAGTTTGGGTTTGTAAGATTGTAATGATTTTGAAAGTCTTTTATGCTCACCAAGGCTGCATTTATTTGATCAAACATATAGGGAAAACAGTAATATTGTCAAATATTAGTACATTTTAAAATAACTGTTTTCTATTTTATTAGATTTTAAGATGTAATTTATTCCTGTGATGGCAAAGCTGAATTTTCTCCATTACTCCAGTCTTCAGTGTCACATGATCTCTTCAGAAATCATCAAGATGCTAATTTTGTTTCTCAGAAAAGATTTTCAATTATTAAAAAAGTTGAAAACACTTTAAAAAAACACTAGAAAGTAAAAAAAATAGCAGTTATATGAACTAGATAGTGTTTGTTATATATTATATTATAAATATCTTTGCCATCACTTCTGATCAATTTAATGTGTCCTAATACTTAAATAAAATTATTAATTTCTTTCCAAAAAAAACTTACTGACCCAAACTTTTGGACAGTAGTGTAAATAGATTCCTGCTTAACGTGTGAACCTTTTACAGCATATTTCAACGACATCGCAGTTGGTGCCGTGTGCGGTAGAGTGGATCACTCTCAGAACCAGAAGCGACTCTACATCATGACCCTGGGTTGCCTAGCACCTTACCGCAGACTTGGCATAGGTGAGATCACTTCTCTGGGTGTTTTATGCACTTGTGTGTCCTCATTTTTTTCAAATTTTCTCCATTATTCCAGTCTTCAGTGTCACATGATCTCTTCAGAAATCATCAAGATGCTAATTTTGTTTCTCAGAAAAGATTTTCAATTATTAAAAAAGTTGAAAACACTTTAAAAAAAACACACTAGAAAGTAAAAAAATAGCAGTTATATGAACTAGATAGTGTTTGTTATATATTATATTATAAATATCTTTGCCATCACTTCTGATCAATTTAATGTGTCCTAATACTTAAATAAAATTATTAATTTCTTTCCAAAAAAAACTTACTGACCCAAACTTTTGGACAGTAGTGTAAATAGATTCCTGCTCAACGTGTGAACCTTTTACAGCGTATTTCAACGACATCGCAGTTGGTGCCGTGTGCTGTAGAGTGGATCACTCTCAGAACCAGAAGCGACTCTACATCATGACCCTGGGTTGCCTAGCGCCTTACCGCAGACTTGGCATTGGTAAGATCACTCTTTTGGACGTTTTATGTGCTTGTGTGTCCTCGTTTTTTTCAGTGGGCAGAAAGGGGTCAGATTCCCTTGGATTGAATTAGGGCTGCATGATCAATCGCATGCGATATTTAACGAGCATCTTATTCTGTAATCAGCGGTAAATCTCCATCACGTGCATGCTTTCACATGGAGCACCATTAACTACACAGAGCCGTAGTTCACTGATGAGCTGCGCAAAACCACGTTCATATTCGCGCGATTTTTTGCGCAGCTCATCAGGGAACAACGGCTCTGTGTAGTTAATGCTGCTCCATGTGAAAGCCCGCGGGTGATGGAGATTTACCGCTGATTAAAAACCGGCTTTCTGATTGATGGAGATTTAAATATCGCATGCGATTTATCGTGCAGCCCTAGATTGAATGCATAATTGCATAATCAGATTATTGTCTTTGAGTGATGCCTGACATGAAGATTTGTAATCCGCTAGAGCAGTGATGTTTGAATTTTGTTATTTGCACATTTTCACATTACTGATATTTATCTTGCCATGTTTGTTTGAAGGAACAAAAATGCTGAACCATGTGTTGAACATTTGTGAGAAGGATGGCACTTTTGACAACATTTACCTGTGAGTCTGAAGACAGTCTTGTGCTTTATTTGTTGTGAAACCTCCATCTGTGTCTCATTCACATAATGTTTAATGTTGATTCTCAAGTAACCACATAAAGTCTGCTGCAAAATCAATGACTGAATATTTATGGAGTCTTCTGTATGCTAAAGTAATGGTTTTGCTCTCTCTTTCATGTCTCCACAGTCATGTGCAGATCAGCAATGAGTCTGCAATTGACTTCTACCAGAAATTTGGCTTTGAGATCATCGAGACAAAAAAGAACTATTACAAGAGGATAGAGCCAGCAGATGCCCACGTTCTTCAGAAAAGCCTGCGCAGCCCATGTGCGCCCCCAGCAGGAGAGCTGCAGAAAGCCGACTAGGGATCGAAGCGCAACACCAGATTGGTCTCTTCCCCCAAATGGAACTGTAACAGATGCCCCAGGGTTGACACACTCACCACTTTCTTCAGAGGACATTTTAAACAGAAAAAGTCAATGACATATTTGCTGCATTTATTGTGCAAAAACTTTAGTCCCCCCTCAATTGTTTTTTTTTTTTTTTTTCGTTTCATAATTTAGAGAGTTGAAATTACATGGAGGTTTTCAAGCAGAATCCGTAAGTGCTCCAAAAAGCTGCTGACGACTTATTGATCTGACATGGTGAAGGTTATGTTTTCAAAGAATGCTGTTTGCATTTGTTTTAGATTTGTTTAAGGTAAGGGGACATAGCTTTGCTTGGACAAAACAATAGAACTAAAGAGGTTAAAATATGACTCGATGCGCCCCAGCTGGTAACCTTGGAGTGATTGTTTGAATCGTCTTAGGGGCACGTGGGATCCGCAGAAATCCATCACCCCGCCACCGGAGCCCTTGGACACACGGCAAGGGAATCTACTGGTGGGTCCTGCTTCACCATACAGGCAATATGCAGTGCTGGAGGGTTGCATGTGATGCAATGTCTCCTTGTTGATGTCAGCCGCCTCAGTCTGAGTTGAGGCTAAACCAGTGAGGAAATGGAGCGTAGAGCCCCCTCGAACAAGAGAGTGGTACAACTGTTTTAGTAAGGAGGAGGCTAAGAGGAGTAAACTCCACTTGTTTATGAATGTTTTGTTTTTCAGCCCATTATTTAATATCTCCATTTTTTATTTTTTTATTTGTGGATTGAGTCTGGGCTTTTTCTAGGGTTTGCAGTAATGCTGCTGGAGAGATGTTAAGGCTTCAGATAACAAACAGGAATGGCTTTTTATGGGCCTTGACGGTTGCATTGTTTACAGTGAATGTGATTCTCTAATAATTTTAGTCCACCAGGACTGAAGTTAGTTTATTAGTGTTTTTGATGTGAACATTTCATCCCCCCATACATTTCATACATTTGAATCCTAGCTTCTCCGTTGTTACTGCAGCAGAAATAAATCCTACCACGATACATCAGTTACATTTCAGTGATGTTCACTGACCACCACCTATTTCACACACACAATGTGGGAGTGTTACAGGTTAGTTCTACAAGTTGTTTTATAGGACTTACAGACCCAGATCCCAGGAAAAGCCCAGACATGCCCTCTCCATTGTAGTAAAGGCATGTTTTTGTTCCTCCTTTATTTGGAAATTTTTATCTTTTTCTGGAGCTCTATATTGTATGACTTTTAAACCTCTAAATAAAAATTACTATTTGCATTATTTTTGTTTTTCATTATTTTTGTGGACATGAATGTTATTCTGCATTCAATGTTTTTAATAAACTTTTTATATATATAAATTTGTTTGATTAAATATATATATTATTGTGAGTTTTTAAATAATCATTGGACGACAAAAACATTTTTTCCTTTTTTTTTTGTTATTTAAGTGGTTACAAAGTCGCCAAGACTGACACCACTAACAACAAACATTCACGTCTTCTGCGTTGTGTGCGTTTTTCCGATTACTTCCTCAACAATAGGGACTTTGCATACCTGCTGCACGGATTCGTGATCTGATTGGATAGAATCTCATTCGTCTTCACTGTGATTGGACAGAACGGAAGTCCCGCCTCACTGTTTTGTGACTGGCAGTTTTATGCTAGGTCAGAGATGGAGTGAATTGTTCAGGATCAAAGTTTTGACGGGGATATCGTCAGCTCAAAGGATGGACAAGCAGTCGGTAGGCTTTTTTTAAGTGACAGACCTGCTGACATGTTGTGTTAAAGAGATTAGTGATGCAGTTAGTAATCGAAAACCATGGTGATGTGTTCGCAGTCTTGTTAGCTCACTGCCAGTTAACCTATTGGACGACAATAATTGTTGTTATTTAAGTGGTTACAAAGTCGCCAAGACTGACACCACTAACAACAAACATTCACGTCTTATGCGTTGTGTGCGTTTTTCCGATTACTTCCTCAACAATAGGGACTTTGCGTACCTGCTGCACGGATTCGTGATCTGATTGGATAGAATCTCATTCGTCTTCACTGTGATTGGACAGAACGGAAGTCCCGCCTTACTGTTTTGTGACTGGCAGTTTTATGCTAGGTCAGAGATGGAGTGAATTGTTCAGGATCAAAGTTTTGACGGGGAAATCGTCAGCTCAAAGGATGGACAAGCAGTCGGTAGGCTTTTTTTAAATTTTTGAGCTGTGTTTGCTTTATGGGTGACACTTAACAATAAGGTTCTGCATTTTAATGTTCTGTAATTTAAATATTTTAATGCAGTAAATGCAATAGGTAACAATTTACTATACTTTATAACATTTATTATTCTAAGTTAATGTTATTGTTGTATACATTTATGTTAGTAAATGCATTATGAATGAACATGTCAATGAACAATTGTGTAAATTAACATTAACATACATGAATAAAAATTGCTGTTTATTGTTAGTTCATACCCAGTGCATTAATGTTAATGAACTGATTCTCATAGGAAAGTATTACAATTTTATATTTATAAATATTTTCTTTAATTCTGTGTATATGCATTTTTAGTTATGTGATTTAATTAAGAATGCAGTTTAATTATGTAGAAGTTTTCTGATGTTTACTGATTTTTATTCACTTATGAGCTCAAGTTGTTTATCATTTAATAATTTTCTGTGAAATGTTAGGCGGAAGAAAAACAAGGAGATCCATAATGCAGGTGAGAAAGCATTATGGTAAAAATTAGTCAAACAGTTTTTGATCTGATGTGAATATTTAATTAATATTTTTTAAAAGTAATATTTTGTATGCTATTCCTTATTTCTCTTAAACATCAGTGGAAAGACATCGTAAAGAGAAAATCAATGCTGGTATAAATCGGATTGGAGAACTTTTGCCTTGCTCTCGGCTGTGTTTGCTTTATGGGTGACACTTAACAATAAGGTTCTGCATTTTAATGTTCTGTAATTTAAATATTTTAATGCAGTAAATGCAATAGGTAACAATTTACTATACTTTATAACATTTATTATTCTAAGTTAATGTTATTGTTGTATACATTTATGTTAGTAAATAATGCATTATGAATGAACATGTCAATGAACAATTGTGTAAATTAACATTAACATACATGAATAAAAATAGCTGTTTATTGTTAGTTCATACCCAGTGCATTAATGTTAATGAACTGATTCTCATAGGAAAGTATTACAATTTTATATTTATAAATCTTTTCTTTAATTATGTGTATATGCATTTTTAGTTATGTGATTTAATTAAGAATGCAGTTTAATTATGTAGAAGTTTTCTGATGTTTACTGATTTTTATTCACTTATGAGCTCAAGTTGTTTATCATTTAATAATTTTCTGTGAAATGTTAGGCGGAAGAAAAACAAGGAGATCCATAATGCAGGTGAGAAAGCATTATGGTAAAAATTAGTCAAACAGTTTTTGATCTGATGTGAATATTTAATTAATATTTTTTAAAAGTAATATTTTGTATGCTATTCCTTATTTCTCTTAAACATCAGTGGAAAGACATCGTAAAGAGAAAATCAATGCTGGTATAAATCGGATTGGAGAACTTTTGCCTTGCTCTCAGGCCTTGAAACAGGTAAATATGTAATAGAACTAGAACCTAAGCACAGTTTTAAAAGTGCAGTTTTTTTTATTGTTTCTACAGAGTTTTCACTTTGTAATATCTTGACTCTCCTTGTAGAGTAAAAATATGATTCTGGGAGAGGCTTTTCGTTACATCACTGAGCTAAAGCGACAAAATGATGAAATGCTGCTTAATGGAGGAGACAAAGTCCAAGGTGAGCGACGAATTAATTACAATAGTTAATTGTATAACTTAAGTGCATTTACATGTGATCCATTAACATTTTACTTATTCCTTATTGGTACATGGTTTTATGAAGATAAGTACTGAATTAAATGCCTGTCAATGCATTCTTTGTAAGCTAATGTGTAGTCATTTATTTTGACATCTGTGTTAAATATGTCTCTGCAGCAGAAGAGATAAAGCGCTTACGGCACCAGCTGGAGGACCAGCGCAAGGAAAGTGTTCATTATATTGAACTCCTCAAAGCTAATGGCATCAATTTCCTGGATGACCCCACTATACACTGGAAAGGGAAGCAGCGCTGTGCAAAAGTAGCCAAAGTCACTCCAACTCACTTGATGTCAAAGGGAATAATTGTCTACTCCAATGACAACAACTTCTGTCCCGCAAGCAAAGTCTCCATTCCACCAAATCCGGTTTCTCATCTTGATAAACAACCGGCAAATGATGTAACTGTCCAACCTGCATGTGATATTACATTGGGTACGGGTCAGTCTGTTGGTATTGGAGCACCAGTAAATAAAGTTGTAGTCTCCTCTGCTTCTTCCCACATACCTGTAGCAACTGTTATTCCTGCTGTATCAAAGCCATGTCTTACAGTCTTGGAACAGTATTCTCCTCTGGTGCCTGCTACTCCAAGATTAAACCCTCCTATGAATTATATTACTCTTCAAGGTGTATGTCCACAGCCTATTGTCAGCACCCCAGTCCCTCCACAACTTCAACCAGATAACCCAATCCCCAGTCTCACTTCTGCTACCTGTCCGACCACACCTCTCAGACTTCAGCATATGCTTAGCCTATCTTCACTGCCTCAAGTTGTGATCAGTAACTCAGTGGTTCCTGTTGCTGCACCTACTGAAATCCAGTCTGTTAGCACTATCTTACCAGCAAGCTCTACCCTTTTTAGAACCAGTGCAGCTAGTAGCACTCAGACTACATGGACAACACTACAGCTTGCAGGAAATACAGTTCAACCTGTCTCTCAGGCACTCGTCACAGATGGTGCCAGCATTTCACATAACCCTCAGCAACTTTCTGTATGTTCAGCTGGGACAAAACACCTTGAGGAGCCTGCTTCTATCCATTTGCAACCACGGGCTCCTGTGCAACTGCAAGCCCCAACACCAACATGTATTCCTTTTCAGCCATCTGGGCCAAGACCTCAGATATATTCAGCAGTTGTGCCATGCCCTCAGAGAGCAGTAGCACAACAGTCTTCAATTTTATCAGTGCCAGCCATTGTATCCCAAACCGTAGTGGTCCATCAGCCTGTTGAAACACAGACAGCACAGTTGACCCATCCACAATCATCTGTTCGGGCACAACCTGCATTATTACCAAAACCTCAACTCAACTCTGCTCTGATGACCACCTGCAACCCCACCCTACAACCTAAAACTCCAGTTCAGCCTGCTCTGCCGTGCCAGCCTCATTCCCAATCTACAGTGGTGCCCCAAGCCCAGTCTGCCGTTGTGCCTCAACTGCATCTCAGTGTGGTGCCTCAAGCTCAGCCAATCATAAATCCACCAACTCAGCCTGCCCTTGTGCCTCAACCACAAGCTGCCACACTGCCAGTGTTACAGACAATGCAGTTATTGCAGGTGAATTCTGAGGAAACACCAGTTGCTGTGACCTCCTCTCCTCCAAGTAACTCACATGTTGTTATTCTGCAACAGGGAGGCTCATGTACAGCACCACAGGTTCTCAGAGAGGATGTCACTAGTCAGACACCCTGCCAGCACATTGTCATAATTCAGGCACCTACTTTGACACCTGCACCACAGAGTCATCACACTGCCATTGTGTCAACTGCAACCCCAACTTTATCCAGTCAAACGACCACTTCAAACCCTACCTGTACAGCTAGCATGCAGGCAGCTGGTACAAAGCAGTTGGTACATATTCTTCCACGGCCCTCAACCCAATTGCAAGCACAAGCACCTCAGACTATCACTGTGAATGGACAAGTTTATGTTCTGCAGCCGGCAAAGTCACCAGATAAGGTAAACTCTCAATCTGGTCAAAGTGTAACTCAGATACTTCAGTCCACCTGTGAGGAATCCACCTCCAATGTTGCCATGAATTGTTTAGGTGCTCTAACTAATCTTAGTCAGAGCATTTCAAAGGTCTCAAGTCAAAGCAATGTTCAGATATACTCCATTACTCCACCTTCGTACACTACTGTGCAACGTCTTCCAACGTGTGGTTCAGAAGTCAACACTTCTACTGAAATTGTTCTTTCCTCCTCTGTACCTGTACCATCAACTGCTGCTGGCAGTGCAGTTAAAATTATGCCAAAGAAAGGTTGTGGGACTTCTGGAAATCAAACCAGACGAAACTCAGTTAGGAGAACCAAATTGGTTAAACGAAAGGAACCTAAACCTGGGCGAAGTTTGCATAGAATTACTGTCAAGAGTAAGGCATTTGTTGCAAATGATACATTTTCTGAGTTATCCACTGTAGCAAAAAGTGTTGATTCAGTTAGTTCTTTAAATAAGGATACGGTTTATCATGTTAACACGCAGCGAGGACCTGCCCTAAACAGTGTTAGTTCCACCTGCAGTAGTTCTGCAATCATTAGTGTCAGTTCATCCAGTGAAAAATCAGCAGACAGTTCTGTCACGCCTTCAGTAAATGGATCTATTGCCAAGCCCACATTGGCTGGTGGAGAGGTTTCAAAGTCTAAAGCAAAATCTATAGATGATGTCCACTTGCATAACAATGTAACAGTTAGTAGTGTCAGTACTGTAAGTTCTACTCAGGGTAACGTGGTTATTTCTACAAATTGTGGCAGCTTGAGTAAAGAAATCTTTACTCCAGATGTTGGTCCCCAGCATAATTGTTCAGTGGTTAGTGCTGCTCTCTCATCACAGTGTAGCTCTGTGGATACTGCTGTAACTTTGTCAGTTGCCTCATCAGAAGTTAATGTTAACTCTTCATGCAGTGTGACATTTTGTAGTGAAACTACTGAACAGAATAAGGTGAGTAGCAGTTGTGTTTGCACCAGTAGAGAAGGCGGATCAACAGAATCAAGACCCAGTTTTACAGAGAGTTCCCCTCCGCTGATCACTGTAAGCTCTGCCCAAAACAATTCAAAAGGTAAATCTCTTAATTCAGACCTTTGTCAGCCTCCATTACCAAGTAACGTATCCACACCATGTCAAACATTAGGCATCAGTGTTAATTCAACAGAGGGTGGGCCAATGGTTTCCATCATGGCAAATCAGGCCATTTCACAAACACAAGATGAGTTTGCAAGAAGAGAAGAGTTGACTGACTCCTCTCAAAATCAGACATCATTTATTGTGCCCTCAACTCCTGGACAAGACACTTCTATGTCAACACAACCTGTTCATCTTCCAGAAACTTCTAGGTTATCGGACACTTTCAAGTCCTTAAAACGACCATCCACAATAAATATGTCCATGACAACCAGTGACCAAGGGAATTGTGCAGATTTCAAACTGCCTGAATCAAATATGAACATACAACCTGGCAAGGATAGACAATCTGATGGTGCCCCAGAAAAGGGTGTGACAGAGATAGGCGCTTTTGCTCAAAAAGAAACAGTTCCTCCACAACAAGTATGTACATTGGAAAATGATTCCTTTGATCCTCCACTGGGAACCAATAGACAGACTGATTCGCCTCTTGCAGGAGGTTCAGGTGGAAGAGGGTTTTCTGTTGCATCATTGCTTCCAGCAGGCCACAACATCAATGCCTCTTCAAGTTCATTTGGCGCATTCACCTTCACTTCTGAGCAGGCAGAAATATTAGCAATGGCTGCAAGAGCCATATTTGAACAGGACAGCCCAGGCAAGAGGGCTGCAGGATGCAGTGTTGACAACCCAACAAATACTTCTGTCACAGGGTGGGACCTTCCAAAAATGCAGCCAGCCCCTTCTAACAAGGATAGTGTGACTGACCAGCAGGTTAAACTAACAAAGCTGGCTGATTTACCTGTGTCAGAAACTTCATCTCAAGTCTCTGCTCGAGTTCCTCCAGTTGAGCCTTTAGGCAGCAGTACTACTGGTGTCAGACTTCCACAGAGCATAGCTTACTCGCAGTCTCAGCCTAGTTCTGTCACCAGCCTTAATGTTAATAACCTCATCAGACCAAGCTCTAACCAACTTTATCCAGGATCACCCAATCTTGCACAGCAGGTTTCTGCTCCGTCGTCAGGAGTTGCTGCTGTTATGGTGACTCAGTCTTCCTCACAAGTTCCCCCAACCTGTTCTGGTCCTGCTCAACCTAATGAATATGCACCTTTAAAGAATGCTATGATGCGAACCCATGTTGGTATTGGAATGGTTGAACGTCATCAGAAGGATATGCCAAAAAGGTCTTCCCAAGATGACCTTATTCTTCCAAATAAGCGTTCAAAACTGTGTCCAGCAGGGAATGTTGCAAGAGTGGACATCAAGGCTCCAGATCACGTGCAAATGATGGTTGGTCAGATGCCCTCAAGTACTTCTGCAGTTATGCCAAGAAATCACTCTGATGGTGTTGGGGCTCTGTTTTCTGGTAATACTTTCATGAGCACTGTGCTCCGCCCTACAGAAGGACACTGCTCTACTCAGGTGCCAACACATGATCAAACTCAGCCAAGTGTGGTTCACCTGCATCAAGGACACACACAACATAATACATCGCAATCTGGGCTGAACTTAGGTGGAAACCCCTACCTCAAGCATCAACAACAACAAGAACAAAGACACCTTTACCAGCTTCACCATCACCTGACACAACCAGAATCTCAGATCCACAGTATTCATCAGAGGAACCTGCTGCAAGACCAGCACGTGCAAAAAAAGAGAGGAGTGGTGCGTGGTGGGCAGACCGGACCAAATGTTGGTTTGCAGAAACCACATCATTTGGAAAAGAGTGGTGTGCAGCCTCCTCAGCAACACCAACAGCAACAGCAGCATTCACAACAATCCCAGCAACATCAACAACAACAACAACAACAGCACCATCAACAGCAGCAATCACAGCAACAGCAGCAAAAAGCACAACAGATTCAACAGCAGCAACAATCACACCAACAGCAGCAGATGCCACCACAGAATTCCCATTCACGTCATCAGCATCTTCAGCAGCAGATTCAGCAGCAGCACTTTGGGGCTAGACAGGACAAAAACTGTGAGGCCCAACAGGCAGGTCAGAGGGCACATCAAAACAATCACTTGGGTCAGCCAGAACGTTCATCTGGACAGGATCATGGGGCTGTGCAAAGACTATTGGGGTCTCGTTCAATGGAGCAGCAGCAGTTGACCTCTCAGGCTAATAATTCTGTTTCGCGTTCTTCGGATCTTGCTTGCACTTCATCACGTCAGGAGCGCCACCGTCTCTCTAGCTACTCAGCAGAGGCTCTGATAGGCAAGACTTCTGCTACTGGTGAACAACGTATGGGTGTGCACCTGCAAGCACCTCGAAGCAATGCACAGGACCAGTCAGAATTGCGAGGGTATGTAGATTCATCACGTGGTAAAGGTAACATTACTCATAATTCTCAGACCAGGATACCACCTGACCATGCTAATAATGCAAACGCCCAGAGAATACCAGATTGTGGACCTTTCAAGGCTCTGGTTAGTGGGCATCAGCTAAATAACTTTGAAGTGCAAGTGTCTCGAAGTGGTGATATGTCCAGCAAGTCTGTACCTCAAATCCAGAGAGGTCCTCAGCCACAAACAGGATTTAGAATGAGTGCAGGGCCTACAGGGGATGGGCGTTCACGTGGAACATATTCAGGTCCGCATCCTGTTGCTCAAGGTGTGCACATTGGAGCAGGATTGACAAGAGAACAGGAGGGATGTCACCAGAGCTTTATGCAAAGCCTTTTGGCACCTCATATTCCTGAACAAAATGGGCACCAAAGGGCAGCCCAGGGCTGTACCCCAGGGAGTATAGAATACAACTGTGTTCCTGGGACCTCTGCTGGAGAACTTCAGGCTAAATCTTCTAGCCCTAGTTTGCACCCTGCACAGAAAGCTGCTCCCATACGTCTAGGGGACAACATCAAAGGCCATATTTCTCAGCTCAGCGCAAATTTGCATGGTCCACCTGTGAGAACAGGTCCACCCCATCCCCCAACACCACACAGCAGTTCAGACACAGGACGTAATCAAGGCTCAACCAGGTCACTCTCTGTTAGTCAACGCCCCCATCATATTGGACCAGATCCACAAAGCACAAAGATTCGTCCAGGAGATCGACCACGTTCAGGCAACTTGAGACCTGGAAATCCTTTTGAACCAGAAAGTTCTTTGCCTCATCCATCAGGTGGAGGAGTGATCCTTAGCCGTACACAAACAGGAAGTGAAGCTAGACGAAGTAACATTGTGCGTTTCATGGCAGATGGTGCTCAGGTCAGTAGTGACAACAATTTAGTGTCCGATCGCTGTGCCGTGTCTGATCTTACCCAGAACTTTGGCTTTTCTTTCATTACTGAAGGAGGAATGAACCCACCACCTCCCATTAATGCCAATGCATCTTTCATCCCACCGGTCACGCAGCCCTGTGCCTCTCGCAACCCAGCCCTCCTTCCTGTGGAACCTCAGAACACTTTACCTTCATTTTATTCCTCATATTCCCCTGCGGCTCATCCTAGCCTTCCAAGTGAGATTCCTTTACAGTATTTCTCAAACCAGATGTTTTCAAGTCCAAGCACTGACAAGAGTGGCAGTGCACCACTGAACAACCGCTTTGGTTCTATTCTTTCTCCCCCTCGACCTGTGGGTTTTGCACAGGCCAGCTTCCCACTTCTCACAGATATAACACCAATGCCAATTGGAAATTCTTCAGGCATCACACCTCATTTATCCAACTTTAACCTGACCTCATTGTTCCCTGAAATTGCCACAGCAATGCCTCCTGATGGCTCGTCTATGCCAATGTCTCCTTTATTGTCTCTTGCCAACACTACTTCCTCAGATTCAAATAAACAGTCTAATCGGCCAGCCCACAACATCAGTCATATCCTGGGTCATGATGGGACTTCTGCTGTTTAAGGTTTTATAGGGTTTTTCATCCCTCACCACATAATTTTTTTGCCCTCACCACTGCATTGGTTTTGTAGAGGATGGCCATGGTGTAAAGACTTTTTTAATTCCTCAAAAGCAAATAAAGCGTGGAATGTTCTCAACTCCCAAGTCAGGATAACTGTGGAACTATGGGGGCAAAGTAAAATATTGCATTATGTCTGTTAGCCTTTGGTTGGTTATTTTTGCTTTGTTTGTCTGCTGATAGTTTGGGCTGTCATGGTTCTACATGATGTATAACTTGTTTTGTATTTTTCTTAAGAACAGCTCACATTGTTTAATAGAAAAAGTAATGTCTGTATGTTCTTTTACTTTGTAGCAACAATAATGAAATGTTAAAGCAAATAAAAGGTTATAATTTTGCATTTAATGCTACAGTAGATATATCTGAGCTGGTTTGTAATGTATCTGTTGTTTTTCAAATGTTTAAAAATATTTTTACATCTTTAAAATGTTTTTCCTGCAGAATATAATTCCAGAAGAACTTTCACCTATTTATGAAATTGAATGTGTGGTCAGTTGGTATTTGTAAAAATGAAAAGTTATTAAAGTTTCTAAGTTAAAGGTATGTTTCTGACTTTTGTGATTTGTTGATTCAGAGGGCATAATAAGGTCCTTTTTTATTTCTTCCAGATTGCTTGTTTTTGCATGTTAAATCCACCAGATGTCAGTACCTTTCAAATATTTTGTCATTAAACTGTGTCATTACTTGGTGTCAGTTAGATTTAAACTACTGCTTTTAAATACTGAACTCGGTTAACAATATATATTGGTTGGAAAATTTTGTCAATTACTGTACCTACATACTGTAAAGCCAAAAGGGCCCTGGATGCTTGAACCACTTCAGGCATTTAGTTAATATGAGCTACACCAGTGGTTATTTTGCTAGTTTTTCTACTTCTATGAATTTGAGAGGATCATGACCTTGAGACCAGATAGTTAAAAGTAAAAAAAAAAGTTTACTAGAAAAAAGTGTGACTTACAAATAATTATAACCATAGAAAAGCATGCATTGACACTAATCATGTTCAAACAGTATGCCATCAAATGTTACTGAAAGTACAAACAGAAAAGATGAAAATGACAACAGAAAATATGATTACTTTAGCTTTATTTACAGGCAATAGTGCTCAAACCATGTAACCATGCAGCTACACTTCTAGAATATGTTGGAGATTGATAATTTCCTTCATGTTTCATGTTTATAACAGTGGAAAGAAGCTAATACTGATGCAGGAGAACTGCAGGTCTCCAAAAGTAAAAGTACAACTATACAAGCAGACTACATCAAACCAGTTTAAAATATAAAAATCAGCATATTGCAGGTAGGCGTGTTCATTTTAAGAATGTCTCACATCCAGGCTACTGAAAAAAAAATTATTAATACCTACAATAAATGGTCTCTTTTTCATAGTCAATATTACTACACACAGAATGCATATACCTTGCATATATTTGTTAACATTTTTGTTAAAGATGAAAATAGGTAAATCTTAGTAACAGATGTACAAAGCTGTAAAACACTGTACCGACAAGATGTACACCACTCAAAATACCTTATTTAAAACTGAGGACACACCTGAAACAAGTTACAATCAAAAGGTTCTTAAACTGTTTATTTGTGTGTATTCGAGTATTTAAACCTCACAGTAGAGTCTACATGCCATAAAGCCACTAAATGTATGTGGATACAACATACTGTGCATAAAATATGTATGCATATAAGGTGAACATATACTACAAATATTTTTGATGCAAAGTGTTTTTAAACAGTCAATTGTCCCCAAGCACTGCACATTATAACATTCTTAATGAATGGATCATAATCATAATGCCTTAAAACCATTACATTTCCCACTAGCTGTACTTCAGACATCAATAGATGCTTGCCAGTGGAAAATTTGGAGCTTATTACTGATACTGTATGTATGGTGTCGAGGTGTCAAGTTGTTCGTATCTCACACGAGAATCATTTATACAGCATGCTTATAAAAATGTCCTGGTGGTAACAGACAAACATACCAAAATTCATATTACATCTGATATAAACAACCTATATATACACACATTCTAAAAACTGTATTATGTACAAATACATAAATATATAAATATAGCATCTGTAATACAAAAATAAATATTTTCTTTTTTTTCTTGCTTTTTTTCCTACAGTTTCATCCATCTTTTGGATCTTGTGTCCTTTGTTCCTCAAGCAGTTTCATGTTCTGAGTTGTTCCCACTTTGTGTAGCTCAGCATCGTTTATACCCGCATCAACTGCTGTTAACAGGGACAAGTCTGTGGGGAAAATAAATATTGCATTCAGACTACTTTTTCAAAATATTAAAGTATTTGGTGTATTTCCAAAAGCTAAATTTGATTAAACTTGACAGTTTCAAGAGTTATAACTGCATGTAGCTGCAGAGTGTACCCGGGCCACCTTCATTCATTTAGTCTCTTTTTGAAATTGCAGGTACTTTTGACATTGCCTTTATCGTAATACATGAAGTAACTGAACGCACCGGCAGTGAGCTCCCCTTCTATGTGAACTGCTTCAGTGAGGGAGTGATAGGCCTGTATGGAGTCAGGACTCTGAGATGGCTGCATAGGGTCCAATAAACTAAGGTCCTTCAAGGGGTAATCATCAGGCACACAGCATCCCTCATCAGGACAGCCAGGCACCCTAAGAAAAAGGAAAAAAAGTTCAAATTATACTTGTGTTTTCCTAACAAACTTAAATGTATACCTCAGTGTAACAGTCACCATGAAACAGCATTCACAACCATTTGACTTCCATAATGACACGAATATTTAATTTTTGACAGGAATGAAAACGAGGCTGTGAGGGACAGATGTACAGTGAGTTCACTGGATTGTACTGTTGTTTAACAACATATTGATTGTTCAGCTGATCAAACATTTTTACAAAAAAACGTTCAATAGGCAAAAACGTTTTGAACGTTATGAAAATGATGTGATCTAGGACCTTATATAGTGCACGTCATTGTAAAGACTGTAAGAATATCCTTCACAGCCTCATTTTCATCCATGTTAAATTCAATATGGCATCTAACCTGAAGGTCTATTATGCAGATTTTATTTGAAATTTCCAGGTAGAGAGTGAAAAGATGTGTGGCAGCAATGTACAGTAGAAGAATTTTTATTATTATTTTATTTAAATCATTGTATGTATTCTAGTAGACCCTAAAAATAAAATAATGAACATGTATACAAGCATAATATATGGGGCACTTTAAAAGTGGGTGTTTCATAATAAAATGAAGCAGAATTAGAATTCATACCCGTTACAGTAATTGTGGATATGTGGTTGCGGATTGGGAAGTTTCTGAGGCAACAATGCATCACACTCCAACTCATAGCCAGCGTCCTCCTACAAGAGTTTAAAGAGTTATCAATTCAATGCAATATCTTCATTCACTGGCCTAAAACAGCAATTCAAGATGTTTATTACTCTTACAACTACTGTGCTGGACATCACAAAACATTAAAGGGGTCATAAACTGAGAAATCAAAATTCCCTTGATCTTTTGACATATAAGAGGTCATTGTACTATAAAAACATTCTGTAAGTTTCAGAACTCAAAATGTTCTCATTAGTCTAAAAACAGCTTATATTGAGCCCAATCTGCCAAAACGACAGGTTGTGGAATGTTGCACTTTATGACGTAATAGTGTGGCTAAACACCGCCTCCGCAGAAGATGATCAACACCTGCTGCTACATCACTGCCTGTTTAGCCCCGCCCACCGATGTGCACACATAATGTAAATAACGAGAGGCAAACGCAGGTCTACACAGAAACCAAAAGATGACGATGACTCCGAAAACAAAACGCTGTTCAGTGCCAAGTTGTGGAAAAACACAGTCTTTGCATTGCCTTCCTCCTGATCCCAACATTAGGAAAGAGTGGATGAACTTTATTTTTAATGTCCCAGACCGTGTCAGTAAGAACTTGGTCCTTTGTTCAGTTCATTTTACCGCGGATTTGTTTACAAACAAGGCATAATTTTACGCAGGATTTTCAGAAACAATGAAACTAAAAGACGATGCTGTGGCGACTATTTTGGATCCGACAGTAATGTCGCACCACACAAGTGTGAGTAACTGTTTTTAGAAACCAAAAGATGACGATGACTCCGAAAACAAAACGCTGTTCAGTGCCAAGTTGTGGAAAAACACAGTCTTTGCATTGCCTTCCTCCTGATCCCAACATTAGGAAAGAGTGGATGAACTTTATTTTTAATGTTCCAGACCACCATCAATAAGAACTTGGTCCTTTGTTTAGTTCATTTAGTTCGTGGATTCGTTTACAAACAAGGCACAATTCTACGCAGGATTTTCAGAAACAATGAAACTAAAAGACGATGCTGTGGCGACTATTTTGGATCCGACAGTAATGTCGCACCACACAAGTGTGAGTAACTGTTTTTTATTAAGTAGTCACTATTGCATTGTCTGGTAAACAGAACGTTTGATATGTACTGAGTATTTATGCGTTTTTAACATAAATCACAGCAGCGTCCATCGGTGCAGTATGTAGGCTGTCAAACATGCACAACTGTTAGCCAATCATAGCAGTGGGTGATTACTTCCGAGTCAACAATCTGCCACACCTATTGATAGTTTTCACGTGATGTCACATACTCATAGGAACGCCCACCTGGAGGACAAAACGAAGCTTTGCTCAACTGACCGCCAGTTATTTTTATGCAGTTTGCATCAAGTAATAATGTAGTAAAACGCATACATTAAAAGGCGAAATTCAGTAAACATCTTATTATGTATATTTTGTACAGGCAAGCAGATGAAGCCAGAATATAAACGCAATGTGCAAAGTTTCACGTTAAATGGTTTCCCATAAAAAAACATTATAAGGAAAACACTGAACCATTAAGTGGATTGCATTCATATTCCGGCCTCATCTGCTTGCCTATGTAAACTATGCATAATAAATATAGAGAATATTACCGTTTCAAATATATTAAGGCACTTTAAGTGTTTTAACAACGTTTTGTCGCACTGTTTAATGATTGAAATATTGCAGCGGGTGCTTAATATGGATTTCAAATGGCCAAAACTTGCATTTTGTTCACATACCTTTGTTTTTATTCTTTTGAGAGCCGGTCACGTGACTGAAAGCTATGAATTCAAATGGAGCGTCCCCATAAGGGGGGTCAAAACAGGACAGAAAATACCGTATTACTTCTAAATGATGATGTCTTTTGATGTAAAAATCTTGATAACATTATAAGTGGACCTCAAAATAAAAAAAACAAAGGCAGTTCATGACCCCTTTAAGCACCAAGTGCCAAAATTACCTGGTGTCCAGGAAGCTGCAATGTAGTGTGTTTCCCATTGGGAATATATTCTCCTTTAGGAGCATAGACAGTGTGGGCAGGGGTCAGGTGGGGGCCTATAGGATAGGGTCGACCAAGAGCCAATCCTTGCAGTGGTACCATGGTGTACTGGCATGGAGAAACTGTAGCTGGCAATGCTGGAAAGCACATGTCTAAAGTTTGTTCTGAAATAAAATAAATACAAAATTAATTGTTTATGAGAGTCCTACTATCTTATCTTTGAATTCTTAATGAAGAACTGTTTTCATGTTTCTAAAATGGCACTTACTTTGTTTGGCCCAAACTCTCCACAGACAGATTGGGATGAAGGCCACAATGATGAAAACAAATGCTCCAAGAACAACGCCCACAATGAGGTAAGGCAGATCACCAGGCCGGGGAACGGGGTTTCCTGGATGGTCGGGCCTGGACGACGCTGTCTCTGGAGGTGTGGTCCTCTGGTGAGGGCGAGCTGTAAGTACACACAGATGTTCAGACTTAAGATCTGCATTGTCAGAAGAGATCTTTGTTCTAGAAATTGGCTGAGGTGCGGTTCGCAATGTGATTAAGAGGATAAGGACAAAAACCTTTAGTTTCCATGATGACGACATTTCCGAACTCACTCTCGCCTCCTTCGTTGAAACACTGCATCTTAATGTCATAAGCCGTCTCAGGCTGTAGGTCAGTGATGGAATGCCAATACCGGTCACCTAAAAAGAGCATCACACAATTACATTTTATATTTCTTTAATATATAGGCCTAGTTGAAAATTAAAGAATAAAGGAAGTACATGACTTACCTTCCACTACATCCTTTTTGTAGTCACTGTCATTGTCACTATCGGTGGGTCGGTAGAAGATGTAGAAGCCATAAATGGGAGTGTTATTGACCGATGTGTACTGTAGAAAGAAAAAAATATTTATTTCAAGGTCTGACAATGCCACTGTGACAGCAAACAGCTCACATTTCTTGAATTTGACCGTGTAAAAGTGTCTAGTAAAGAAAATGCTTACCGTCCACTTCAGGATGATTGTGGTCTCATTGATGGCTTCATTGTAGGTGATGTAGGGTCCATCGATGGGGCGCCGGTTAGGTGGACCGCTGCCCACCACTGTGTAGGCTTTAGAGGGAGCACTAGGTGGACTCGCTCCCAACACATTAACGGCCAAGACTCTGAACTTGTATGATGTTCCTGCAAATGCAATAGAAAGAAAAACATACCAAGTCACCATCTCATGTGTCCAATGGCATTTCTTTAACTTAAAACTTTAACTTGATTGGCCAGTCACTTTTCCTAATTAATTTGTCAATGGTTAATATAAAAGTTGCATCTAAAAACAAGTATATAATGTATGAATTTTTTGTTACATTGTTACATTTATTTAACATCAAATGTTAACGTTTTAAATTTCTACTTATTTGTCAATTTTAAAAATAATTGATTAATTTAGTTTGTTACATTTAAACTTTTTACACAAAAAAATTAATTTGCACATTTAAAAGTGATTTATTAATCATTTAATTAATTAATTAAACTACATTAAGCATTATTAAATATATTTTTTGTATTTATATATATATATATATATATATATTTTTTTTTTTTGCATTTGATTGATTTATTTACATTTACATTTTTTGAATTAATAAACTGAAATTGCTTCTTTTGTCATACGTGAGAATTCTAGTTCACCATATATCGCTATCGGCCACTGAAAACATTACATCAACTGATCATCTTCTTCACTTATGCGAAACTGACATAAATCTCACCTTTCTCCAGGCCTGTTATCTCGACTGACAGGCGAGAGGGAGGGATGTTGTTTACAGCCACCTCCCACTCTCCACTGCCTTTCCTCAATTTCCTATAATCCACACGGAATGACTGGATGGGAAATCCACGGTTCCCACGAGGGATCCACGTCACATAGGCTGAGGTCTCTGTGGCCATGGAGACAGTGGGTCTGTCTGGAGCTTCTGGAGCTGGAAAGACAAAAAAAGATGGTCAATAAAACAACAAATACTTTCAGTGAGAGTGTGTATGCATGCACACTGTACATACACAAACACTAACACATAACACACTTACTGTAATCTCATCCTTCATTTATGATTGAAAGAAATCAAGAGAACAGTCATGTTAGCATAATTAATAATAAGAATAGTATTAATCAGAACTATTAGGGACTGATAAAACTTAAATAAAACTAATATTTTAAACATTTCAAATGTATTTAATGTTACAGTTTCTCAGTACTTTACTGCAGCTGTAAAGAAATACATTACACAATATATTACTGTATCACAAGCTAAAGTATACTCACGCGAAAGTCGAGGTGGCACCGCTGGTGTTTTTGGAGGGCCTATGGGTCCTCCCCTTCGCCCTGCAGACCAACATTAAAGACATTTTATTTCACTACTTAACTCTTTTTTTAACACTAAGATATATTTAAAAAAAATGTAAAAAGTGCAATTTTCTACACAACTCTGTGGAATACCTGATTCTGATTAGTAAATTGTGGCATTCTGAGGTGAAATATTTTTATATAATTACCACTAAAGTGTACAATTGACTGATGTCCCAAAAAGCTGTCTCAGTCATAAAATAGTTTTAATTTCAAATCAATATTTCTTGCTAATTTAATTAATTATTTGTTAAGTAGTCAAGTAATACAGTGCACAGCATAAATGAGTACACCCCCTCTGATTAAATATAAAAGATGTATTTTCTTAATGATCACTAATATAATTCATAGAAAGATGGCAAACAAGTTAAGTCTGAGTATGATTCAGTGGACCATATAACACTTAATTATCAAAAAATCACTTACCTTTAACAGTTTTGGTTCAACATACTTACCTGTTGATCAATACTTGCCTTAACCTTACACCAGAAATGTTTTTTTGTGTTATTTAGTAACTTTCAGGAAGGTGTACTCATTTTTGCAACACAACATTTTATCACTTTGAAAAGAAAATGGTATTTTCTTGAATAATTTTAACATTCTTCTTTGGTAACTGATCAAGCAGACTTGTTGCAATATTATATCTCTAAAAAAACATAACATGTCTTCTAAGCAAAGAGTAATTGCTGAATTTGTTAAGTTTCAAAGGGGGTGTACTCACTTATGCTGTGCACTGTATACAAGAAAATGTGTCATTATAAAAAATAAACCTCTTCAAGGAGATGCAAGTTCATTTCGCCAACAAAAACAAGTTTTCAAACGTGACTGCAGAAAGGTAATTTTGAACTAGCCATATGGTTGCATACATTTGCCTGTTCTAAAAGTCATCATCGCAGGCTGCCCAAGTCCAGCGCAGTTCTTAGCAGCCATCTCCACTTCATAGAGGCTAGCAGGCTGCAGTTTGGTCAGTGTAAGCTTGTGCTGGGTGCCTGAAATGGCATTAGTGGTCCACTCTCCGGGAGATTCTCCAGCCTGTGAGACAGAAAAGTACAAACAATGAATCATAGGAGTGGAATCACATGACAAACATACTGTTGAGCGAAACGAAGCAGATCACACTGTAAGAATGAACTGAGCGGTGTTGTACCTTTCTGTACTTGACGACATACTCCAACACAGGAGCTCCTCCATCATGACGGGGTTTCCAGGTAAGCTCATAGTAGTCTGCCTTTCCTGTTCGTGGCTGACTCAGGATGACTGGTGCTTCAGCAGGGGAGACTCTGACCTCAGAGCAGTCGAAAGGCAACACTGCACTGGTGGCCACGGGCTTCAAGGGTGGCTGTTCCCGCAACACCTTATCTGGGCTCAGAGGTCGAATCAGGGGCAGCTTGCCTGATCTTGAGGGCACTGAAACTGTAGACAGCACAGCAGAACCAAACAAAAATGTAAAAAAATAAATAAACAAATAAATCAATGTTTATTTTACAGATGTATGTATTATATAATGGACAATACATTATTATAAGTGAATTATTAATAGAATTTAATAGAAATAGTATGATTATTAATATGTATGTATGTATGTATGTGTTACTATACTATTAAGTTTAATTTATTTTAGGGTTGTCAAATCAGTAAATTGCGATTAATCACATCCAAAATAAATGTTTGGGTTTACACAATATATATATATATATATGTGTACTTTGTATATTTATATGTATATTTAAATACATGTATATATTTGCCTGTGTGCGTTTATAAATATATTCCTGTATGATTAATATTATATATATAAATATAAATATATATTACATATATTTCTTAAATATATACATGTATGTGTGTGTATTTATATATACTTATAAATATACACACAGTACACACACATATATATTGTGTAAACACAAATTTTTTATTTGGATTCGATTAATCACAATTAATCGATTTGATAGCACTAATTGATTTTAAATTTGTATACATTTTTTATTATTTTATCACTTTTAACTACATAATAAAAAAAACTATAAAAGTGATGAATACTACTACTACTACTACTACTACTACTACTACTAATGAAAGTAATTAATAATAATAATAAAATAAAAACTTAATAACAATGATTATACTAATGCATTTTATTATTTATACATTTTATAATGTTTATTTGATAAATTAACAATTTTTTTATTCACTAATAAAAGTGAACAATATTAATAGTAATAATAATTAGTAGTAGTAGTAGCAGTAGTAGTATAAATGAACAGACAGTAATATAATAATCTTTTACTAATTAAATAGTTAAAACAAATAATATACATTTTTATTATCATTTTTTAATAAAGTATCATACCTGTTGGGACAGTGAGGAGTCTTGTGGCTGCCTGTGAGCTGCCCACACCATTCTCCGCCATGCACTGGTACATGCCATCGTCCTGCGGCCTGACATTAAGCACACGCAGCACCTGCGAGGACATCCGATGCCGTGGTGACGGGCTCAGAGGCTGAGCGTTGTGGAGCCACACCACAGTGGGTGTGGGCTTGCCCCTCACCTGACAGCTGAAACGCACCGTGTCGCCCCATGCAACGTCTTGCTGCTGCAGCTCAACACGTACCTGGGGAGGCTCTGAGAGACAAAAGAAGGGAATTTCAGACAGGTGTATGTCAAAACATCAGAACAAATGCTGAATGGCATAAATCAACATGCATGTTGATGGTTTAGCAGCACAAAGCATGAGTGCTGTTTGTGATGGCATGCTGCCGCAGAGGAGTCTGGGATAGACTGCGTTCTCTCACCCTCTTCCAAAACTTGATGGTTGGCTGCTAGTGAATCAGCTCGAGCTCATTAGAGCAACAGCAAGAGCGGCTTAATTAATCACAGCTGCCGTGAGACGAGCCCACAAAAACAATCTCATCCATGTCTCAGAAACTCAATCCTACACACACTCACAAAACATGCTCTTTCTGTTCAGTAAATGTACTATGGGTTCATTTGGATGCTTATAACCAACTATTTTCTCTCTGGTTCTGATTACCTTAAAGCAGCGTTAAATTACTGGAAACTGAAATTGTGCCATCACACACATAAAATGTTCCACCACTGCCCTAGTTCCTGATTTTTATACACCACTTCATATCAGTTAATGTATTGGTTATCACTTACCAATTTTCCCCCCCAGAATTTATTAAACAAGTTTAATATATAAATATGAAGTATAGATATAATACACTACCATTCAAAAGTAAGACCTTTACCATCAGTAAGACCTTTTTAAAGAAATTAATACTTGTCTTCAGCAAGGATGCATTACATTTATCAAAAGTGACAGTAAAGACATTTATAATACAACAAATTTTTATATACAATGAATGCTATTCGTCAAAGAATCCTGAAAAAATGTATCATGTTTATTGAGCACCAAATCAGCATATTAGAATGATTTCTGAAGGATCATGTGACACTGAAGACTGGAGTACTGGCTGCTGAAAATTCCGCGTTGTCATGACAATAATAAATTACATTTTAAAATATTCTTTTTATTGCTATGATTAATTCTATTAACATAAAAACAGTTATTTAAAATTGCAATAATATTTCACAATACTACGGTTTTTACTGAATTTCTGATCAAATCAATGCTACTTTGGTGAGCAAGAGAATTCTCTACAAACATTAAAAAAATTGTATCAACTCCAAACTATTGAATGGCAGTGTATATAAATACATTGTTCACTGGTAATTCATGTTTTTTTTCATAATACATTAATGTTAATATATACAACTTGATGCAAAAAAATATTAATGCATGTATAAATCAACATTAATTTAGATTAATAAACACTGTAAAAGTATTGTATTGTCATGATACCTAATGCATTAATTAATAGTGTATTGTAAAGTGTAACAGATAAAACTCCTGCAGCCCCAGCGTGTGAGACTCTAGCAATCATACTCACCAAACACCTGTACGTCGTACAGCACCCTAGCAGAACTCACAGAGTCGATGCCGTTATCAGCGTGACACACGTATGTGCCTGAGTCGCTCTCGCTTACTGCATCAATCAACAAGTTGCTAAGCAAGAAGCGGGTGTTGTTATGATTTCGCAAGTCCAGACCATCCTTAGCCCATGTGACATGTGGAGTGGGAATGCCACTGGCCACACACTCAAGCACAAGCCTCTGGCCTTTATTCACCATAATGGACCGAGACGCAGGTGGATAGATGATGCGTGCAGCCTCAGATGTCGAACCTAGACAGGATAATACATTTTACTCAATTTTATGATTAACAAAAATGACAAAAAGAGTGTGTGTGTGTGTGTGTGTGTGTGTGCGCGCGCGCGTGCGTTTTTGGTGTTCGGCGTAAACGTATTCTAAGACGATCAGTAGAGCTGGAGGTTTTTACTTCCTGGGTGACAGGATTGTAAGCAGCACATTTGTAAGGACCCTCATCATCCCGTGTAGCATTGGCTATCTGAAGGTTTCCTGATGGCATGATCAAGTAATTCCCTAGGACACAATCAGAGAACCAATGATTGGCATCTGTAGGACAGGCTAGTATAAACAGATTTGTCAACAGAATCAAAATTAAGAATCTGCAACATTTCTTAAATCTAAGCGGTGATCTTTAAGTAAATATATGAACAGCAAGAGTAACTGCAACAAAGACAATCATGCTTACAAAGCTAATGCTAACGCTTTGTTGAGTGGACAAGACTAGACAACACACAAAGACTTGATGACTCTCAACAAGATGAGAGCTGTCAAACATCCAAATACCAGAATCAACTAGTGTGAATTTCAAAAATGGCAGAAATAACTGAAGCAAATTGTATTTGAATTCAAATTATGTCGACTGTAACAGATCCAATGATGGCTCAGATAAAACAGAGTTAAAATTTTAGCTGAATGTGAAGAGCATACTTAATACAGAGTATTAAAACAATATTATTAAAACAATTAAATTCCATAATCTCAATAACAATGTTCTTAATGTTTTAAACTTTTATTATCAATGAATTTTGACTACTATCTTGCACTAGGGTTGTGACGGTGAGGAAATTTTCCCACCGGTCAATCGATGTGTGAAAACACCGATAATACCGGTATCACCGTGGGGGCAGGGGCATTCCCTCTTTTCCTCCCTTTCCTTCGCTTTTAAATAGCTTGCAAAAGTGGCGTGTGCATTTTACTTTCACTTTCAAATAGCGGCAATTCGGCGTAAAGCAATTGTTAATTTTTAGTCCGTTTGAATTTTCCCTCTTTTAAATAGCTTAAAAGCACTGTCTAATTAGCGTCAATTCGGCGTCAATTGCTTGAATGCAACAACAAAATACAACGTCAAACTCACTTTAGCCTATATACAAAACATAGAACTTTTATTAACAAAACTAATAAAAATACACCATGCTATAGGGCAGGCTATGCCTAATATAAAATATCAAATAACTTACATAGTTTAAATAGGTAGCCTATACAAAACTGGAAATAGTCTAAGTAAACATGTATAATGTATAAATAAGAAACGTAGAAAGTTTATTAGCAAAACGAATAAGAAAGCTTGGAGGCACGGCATAAACCTTGATGTCAAATAAAATAAATAAATTACACAAAGTTTAAATAAAGTAAAACTCAGCAAACACAGTGGAACCAATTAAATAAGAAACGAATGTTTAAAAAAAACTTCCAAAATCACTTTAGATAAACGGCAAAAGTTAACAGGCTTTTCAAAATCCAATATGCTGCCAAACAGGTGCTTTTGTATTTCGTTTCGAAAACTAAATCATCCGCGATCGTCTTGTCTGTCTCACCCCACTCTTCTTGTCAGTCAGCTCTCCGCACTCTCCTCACTGGATAAATGAAATCTGATCTGTGATGCGACTGCCATTCGGCATGCTGCATTGAGCAGCTGCGTTCAGTTTTTAATTGTCGTGTCTGTTCTTTTACTGAGCTAAATGATTTTTATTACTATAAAAAAATCTAAACGACGGTGGGGGTCGGTGCCGCAGTGGGCAAGTGACATAACCGGTGTCGCAGCTTAACAACGGTATCTTGCACCCCCTTGAAAGTGCGCTGAGGCCCCCTAGTAGGTCCCAGGACCCTGGGGTTAGAACAACCGGCTTATGTTGAGCAAAATGGTGAATGAATGTTGAGCCAAAAAAATAAGTAAAACGTACCTTTAGATGTCTCCAGCCACTCCTGTTTGACACTGTAGCGGACCTGAGCTTTAGGCTGACTCTCAGGCAGATGGCACTCGATCACTGCTGTGTTCCCTTCATCTACCTCAATCTCCTGCTGGTCATCTGGCTCAAAATCACGCAATTCTGCATGCAAACACACAAGAATTACCAGTTTTTCAACCATCTAGCATATATACTTAAACAGGAAAAGCAATAGAAATCTCAAACATCCAAGTGTCGGTTTTGAGCATTTCTAAGTTGAAAGCCTCTTTGTATTCCATTCAGGAAACTGAGAAGCTTTAGAGTGCATATGCTTAGGACTTTTACTGGGATATCAAATGGGCAGACACCCAATAGCTCTGAAAAACAGAGACAGAAAGTCTAGCTTCCTTAAGCACAAGTCAGCCCAGGCTAAAATGAGGTCAAAGGCTAAAGGTCAGCCATCTTCTTAAGTTTCGAGGGAGGAAAAGCCGTTTGGATTGCAATAAAATGCAAAAACTCCGCCTAAGTGAGTCGGTGTGTCATTCTGTGAAGGGAATATTTTCCAAAGGCAGACAGGGAAAATTGCACAGCACTGTCCTGAAAAAACCCTGAACTTAATCAAATATCTCCCCAACTGTTCATTACTCCTCTCACAAATAAGATCGTTTCATTGTTCTCCAGAGTTTAGTTATATTCCTTGGCGTCTGATACGTCTCAAAGTTATGTACAACAGAGCCAAAAGATCTGTGAGGTAAAGATTAAAAAAAGCTCTTTGTTAAGTATTCCTGGAACCAGACATACAATGGTGGAAGAGACGAGCACTTAAGTAATCAGCATCTGATAAACTTTTTGACACCAGCTGCATCTGTATTCTGAAAGAATCTTCGCTTGGTTTTTGAAGTGAAATGGTTTTTTTGAAATAATTTCTTGGGAGATGAGAATTCCAGGATATGAGGTTGAGAGCAGGGTGGAGAATGTTTTGGGGGGGGGAACGATCCATTTGCTAAATCAATCAGGGTCTTTTTACAGCCCAACCCTGCCAGCAGCCACCCCCCACCGCCCCACACATCTCCTAAATTCCTCAGTGTACACCTTTAACCCCTCCTCTGACTGACTCCCCCTTCACCTCCCTCTCCTCAAAACATTCCTCCCCCTCCTCAGGTGTGCAAGCGGGGAAAAAAGAGGGAGAAAACATTCAATTAATAACATTAAACGTTTTAAACAACAATAAAAGTCATATACAATAATTTTGAAAAGTTCGAAGGCAGTAAGATTTATATATATATATATATATATATACAGTGGGTACGGAAAGTATTCAGACCCCCTTACATTTTTCACTCTTTGTTATATTGCAGCCACACACATTTATTTCAGAAGGTCACTTTAAACTGATCAAAAGTGACAGTAAAAACGTTTGTAACACACAAAAGTTACAAAAGATTATTATTTCAAATCAGCATATTAGAATGATTTCTGAAGAATCATGTGACACTTAAGACTGGAGTAATGGCTGCTGAAAATTCAGCTTTGCCAACACAGGAATACATTTTAAAACATATTAAAATACAAAACAGTTTTTTTTAAATGGTAATATTTCACAATATTACTATTTTCACTGTATTTTTGATTAAATAAATGCATAAAGGCTGCCAGTGTATAAATACTCAATTTCCATCTTTTCCGCACACAAAGCCATCACATAACATCAAAAGACTTGGAACATAGCATATGAGTTGTATGGACTGCATTAAACTGTTTTACGGCAAAAGACCGAAAGATTGAATGAAAGAACAGAGGCAGACTACAAGGAAAAATGTTTATATACTTCTAATATGTTTGTATGTGCATGTGAGGAGGTAAAGGGTGAATGTGTGATTTGTTTGCATGCGTGCGGTACATTCTAAGTCTCCTGGAGGCCTGGAGAGCAGGGAATGCTGGAAGCCATCCAGGATTTCTAAAACAGATCAGACCCATTTCCAACTCCACTTGGCAATGCTTTCATACATGCTGCACGGTTACTTAGCATTCATCATTTTTATGTCTGGGGCTGCAGAGCCTGTGTGTATGAGTGCTCATACAGAGATGATGCAGTAACTATTGTGTGAAATATCACTGGCCAGACTGTGTGTAGCCCTAAAAGACGACAAAGAAAAACAAGTTCGCCCAAGAGTTTACTGAGAATTAGTTACGCCATGTATTAAAAACATATGTGAAGAGGTGTGTGTTTTGTGCGCGAGAGAGGGAAGAAAAGGGAGAGAGAGTGCCGAAGGAATGTTTTTGGCTGGAAGGACACGGGAGGCTCACTTGTCTGTGGAGGAATTTAAGAGGAGAGTTTGAAATAATGCTCAGGCAGGCAACGGCCTCCCCGGTGGGAGACGCTTCAGACAGGATTCCTACAGAGATACCAGGGAGAGCCAAGCTCTTTCACAGAGCAAAAACAGATGGGCAGAGCTTTGAAATATGGAGACGTGAGACAACTTCAGGCTTGCGATCACACACAGCGCCCTCCCCGAGGAACCGTCCAACCCCTGGCTGACTAAGGGAGGAGGTCTTTATTAAATTAGAGCGAGGGGCCGATGTGGGATCATCAGAGACGGGGGCCCCAGCTAAGAGCTCGCATCTCCTCGCCCCTAGCCCTCAACTCCTAATTCATAGTCCTTATCAATTAAATCTTGCAAATATACGAGAGTCAAAGTAAAATGAGGGAGGCTGAAAGTCAGGGGTAAAAAACATCTGAGCTTTGAGAGGACTGAAATCCAATGCACCATTAAATGCCATGAGCAGAAACGCAGAGATTGAGAGAGGGAAATCAGGAGGGTGGATGATGTATAAAGCATGCCTGCTTTGTGGAGGTGAAGATGGTGTCAAGAATCTCATGTCGCGTCTGATCTTGACAGAAGATCCTGCCTCGACTAGTCCTGCCAAACCTACACTGCTCACACTATCACACAAACACGCATGCATGCACACATAGTTCTTTAGAATCTCAAATGTGGCACATATTTACATACGGTTTATGAAAATACAACTGTAAATAAACTGAAGGTTTTAGGATTTTTACATTTATTATGATTTAAAAATAGCAAGAAATTAATCATTTTTATAGGTCACAAATTAAAAAAAATTGTGATCATGTGAACTCTTTTGTACAGAAATCAGTTGTTCTCGCTTCCAGTGAAGCTCAAGATGCTCTTATGAATGAATGAATGAGCCCTTTATAATGGATCATCTCAAATCATGCTGGAGAACATGATCAGGTTTTACACAAACTTGTGGAGTTCATGCAGATTGAGTGCTGCTGACATTAAAGCAAAAGGGAGACAAACCAAATACTAAGACACTTAATTTTTTATTGTTCAATTTTTTCACTCAAATTATTATGCTAACAATATGAGGTTTGTAAATTCTTACATTTTTGAAAGTCTCTTATTTTACTGTAAAAATACAGTAAAAATGTTTTATTGTGAAAAATTGCAAATTACCATAACCCCAAATTTTAAACAGTAATATATGCAGAAACTCTCACAAAATTCACATGCTGTTTCTTTTTCTGTCTGTCTTTTTTTTCGTTCTGTCTCTGTATATGAAGAGGGAAGCAGTGGAGGACAGGGAGGAGGCCCTTCACTAATGGGGCCCGTGGCTCACGCGTACTCACACACACACGTACAGGCATTATGGTGGGTCACTAACTTAGGGCAAACACACACACACACACACACACACACACACACACACTAGCAGTACAGCTAGGCCTGGCATACAACCACACACTGTAGAGCCTTTTGAATTCAGCACAGAAAAACTTTCTCTGAAAAAGTTCTCAACACTGTGTGTAAATATGTATACAACAAATGTAAGTGACTGATGTTTCTAAAAGTGTGTGTGTACTCACTAGCTGCAGTAACGTTGGCCGGCACGCTAGCGCAGGACCCGACACTGGTGGTGGCCATACACTGGTATCTGCCCACGGTGAGGTTTGTAAGGGAGGGGATGTAGAGCGAACCGGGCCACACCAGCACTCCCAGCTCCTCGTCGCCCCCAGTTGGCAGCTCTCTGCCGTTCAGATGCCAGCTGATGTTGACATAGTTGGGCAGGGCGCTGCAGTGCAGGGTCACGCTGCCCCCCAGTTTCTGTACCACCGAGAGAGGCTCTTCTGTGAAGCTTGGGACGTCATCTAGAAGAGAAATTGGGATGTAATAATGATGAATAAATATATCAGTTATCCAAAACAAATGGCTATAATAGGTGCTGGATCTGAACCCAGCTTGTTCTAACACAAATGAAGCCAACTTTATGATGTCATGGTGGGAATAGGTCTTGTAACGGATGGAGAAGAACCAAGACATCAGAAACCCACCTCTAACAGCTGCACTATCCTTCAGGCAGCACAGCAGCGCACCCAGGGCACACAGCACTCGAATCTTCCGCTTTCTTTCCCAGGGTATCCAATCCAATATCCCAGACATCTTCCATACACTACCCCTGTTAGAGGGCGTGAGAAAGAAATAGAGGTTATCAGCTGAAAATCTAGTCAGCGTGACATTACGTTGCGCGTGTGGCGAGTATAGTAATGAACCAACACATACACAACCCACAATCTGAATCAAACAGCTGACAAAAACAAGAAAAGAGACTAAATTCAGAGAGAAATCCATTTACAAGTCAGGAACATTATGCACTACTCATTTTGAAGGGCAGAGCCAATGAGTAAGTTTTTTTTCTTCTAGAAATTAGTACTTTGATCAGCAAGGACACATTAAACTGATCATAAGGGAAAATAAAGACATTTATAATGTTACAAAATATTTATATTTCAAAATAAATTCTGATCTTCTGAACATTCTTTTCAAAGAACCCTGAAAAAGCAAACACTGTTTTCAACGATGATAATAATAAATGTTTCTTGAGCACTAAATCAGCATATTTGAATGATTTCTGAAGGATCGTGTGACACTGAAGCCTGAAGTAGTAATGGCTGCTGAAAATTCAGCTTTGCATCACAGGAATAAATTACACTGTAATATATTAAAACAAAAAACAGTTAATTGTAATGATACTATACAATAGTTTCAATATATTTTAGACCAAATAAACGCAGCCTTGGTGAGCATCAATAACTCTTCAGAAACATTCAATCTTATTAATGACCCTACGACTAGCTTTAAATGGTGTTATGCTACTCGTGAAAAAATCTTTCCTTACAAGTTCACAGAACACATACTGAAACACACATCCACTTGAACCCACATTTGGTGGGTCGAACTGTTGAGATGGGTACCCAGAAAAGAAGAGGGGGAAATCTGAGCCCCCTTACTCAGGTGTAACCGATACAGGCGTGTTCAAAAGAAAAAGACCTGCACACAAAGAACAATGGGGTGGGGGTGATATCATTTGTGTTTTCTGGAAACATTGAGTAGTGAAATGTGATCCCTACAAAGACGCAAACCGAGGGAGAAAGAGTGAGCGGAGAGGGAGAAAAAGAGTAATGGTTAGTGTATTAACAGTTAATGCAGGAAAGGGAGCGTTTCTCTCCCTTGATTCTTACTGCCAAGTTTCCCGAATTCTTTCCTGTCAGGTTAAACTAACAACTTCCCGTCAGGAGGAGGAGGGTGGTCTATTGCTCCCAGACTGCAAATCTCTCTCTCTCACACACACAAACAACTCTACTCCCATCAATTGTAAGCTCTGTAAGTCATCAGCTTTAATCAGGTCAATGATTGACTCATGTCACTGCTCTTTTTAATATTACTTCAAAATGAATGATTTACCACCACGTCTGATACTGATCACAATTACTAAGAACAGTAATCCTACAACTTGCTATGACATTGCTATTAATACTACAACTACATCCATTAAAGGGGTCCTATTATGCTTTGTCACTTTTTCAACTTTAGTTAGTCTGTAATGTTGTTGTTTGAGCATAAAAAATATCTGCAAAGTTACAAAGCTCAAAGTCCAATTCAAAAGAAGATATTTTATTTAACAGAAATCACTTTTCAAAAACTACAACGAACGACTCGTTTGGACTACAACGCATATTTTTCGGGATTTGTGATATCACAAATATCGACGAATGGGACGAGACCTGGTTGAGCTGCACTAGAGAAGGCAACGCGTGTTATTGAGACACGCTAGCTTTCCCAAGGCAGATGAACTTAGAGTGGTTTCAATCATCCAGGTTTAAATCATGCTCAAATTGATTTGATTTTGATGCAATATTTACACTGAAGCTTGCAGGCGGCTATGGTAAGAGGCATGACATTTCCCGACCAGGCACCGAGTGCTGCCAATCACAACACACACTGGCCCAGCTAACCAATCACAGCACATTTTATGTATTTCAGAAGGCGGGCCTTCATTTGATACAGGAACTATTCGAGCCATTCATGCCAGACTGAGGAGAGAGGTGTTGTAATAATGTAAAATATGTGAAAAATAATGTGTTTTTCAAACAACCTAGTATGAGAGCCTGTTCTAGTACACCCCCAAAACAAAATTAAGACTTTGTAAAAGAGAATAATAGGACCCCTTTAATACTTCTGTAGGTGTAGATGATTGTTTCAGTTGTGTTTTGACTACAGTCAGGTGCTGTTGTGCACCTGGGTGTTGATCACTCAGCAAATTAAACACTGAAAATGTGTTTTCTACAAACTCTCAATGGACAAAAACATGGCAAAACCATGGTAGAACTCGTGAATAAAATTGTTTTATGTTGGACAGGTCAAGAACAAAGTTCAGATTAGTAATTGCCCTGCAAATATTTTGACTAGCAAAATAGGCCGCTCCTTTATTTTATAAAAATAAAATAATATATAAAATAAATGTATAAAAGATCAATAAAATAACAAAAATAAAATACAACTTAGTTTTATCAATACATTTTTATATCTGTGAGAAAGATCTTAAAATTTAATGAAAAATATATTTTTCTTTGCAAATAATGTTATATTTTCAAACCCACTCAAAGTGACCATTATGAACATTATTCTCACAATTGTCAAAAAAATCTCATCTCAAGTTAGAAAGCTATATGACTTTTCCATGACCACATATTTCAATTAATAGCAAAGAACTGTTGTGTACCAGAGTATCAATCATTCAACCAATGAAACATTAAAAATGTCTTTCAACAAACTTACAGTGAACAAAAACTGCTGCAAAACATTGGTAGAACTCAATAAATTATTTTTTTTCTACTAGACTAGTTGAGAAAGTAGTTCAGATTTGTAATATGCCCTGCCAATATAGCTAAATAAATAAGTAAAATTAATTGTAGCAACATATTTTATATTTGTCAGAAATAGGGCTGTGCGATTAATCGAAATCGAATCGAAATCGCGATTTGAGACGTTGCGATTTGCTAATCGCAAAGCCTGCGATGTGGACGCGATATTACTCTGTTCCAGAGCATATGCATGACTGCCTGCCTTGAGTTGCAGTCGTTATCTTACACATTTTATCTCCCCAACAGATTCATTTGAAATAAGTTTATAATGCATGATGGCTATTCCCAATTCAGAAAAGTGCACACACAGCCTGTGTCTGTGAATGCTTCTCATACTCGTTCCTCTCTGCCCCACGCAGCGCGAATCCCGCGTCACAGACAAAATTTTTTAATTTATAAATTCATAAAAAATAAACAAATATTTTCTGTGAAATTCAGTAATAGAAATTTTTTTAATATTGAGTTTTCTTATCAAATGATTTGTAAACCCACTTACAGTAATGACTATAAACATAATTCTCACAGTTTTCAACAAAACCTCATATGTTAGATAGCTAGATAACTTTACCTTGACTATTTAAATCAACAAAATTCGTAACAACAATCATCTTCAACAGATCACGAACTACTTATTGTTCATGTTTGTGAGGCATAAAAACATACATATAGCACAGAACTGATTTGATTAGGCAAATGACTGTTGCTCTGTCAACCAACCTGAAACTCTATGCCATCCTTATTGATGAGCCAAATCAATCCTACTGAATTGTGAAATTTAGACTAGATGTTTGCATTAAATAAACTACTGCATATACTCAGACTATCAGGCTCTTTGGAGCCCACAAATCTGTGCTGTCAACAGGAACAGGACAGCTGCCCTATAGGTTTGCAAAAGGCGGCAATAGCGTCTCCTTGGCTGTCAAGCCACCTGTCTCAGGCGTCAGAAGTTATCCCCTTGAACATACATGCTTCATTCAGACACATATGTGCAATCCAGCTCATGTCATCGCCTTTGAGACAAACACTTCACATTCATATCAAGTCGCAACTGTAATGGAAAATAATTTATAGCGCTGCCATTTTTTTCCTTCTTCACCAAAGATGCACAGACAGGGGGAGTCAAACAATACTGTAAGCGAAAAACGTGCTGCGGTATAAGTATGTGACCCCTTTAGAGAGCAGAGATCACATTGATCTGAGCATCTGGATAAGGGCTCTACAAAGGCATGTGCGTTTAGACTCTGTTTATAGGAGAAAGGGAGAAAGAAAGAGAGACAAAAAGCATATTTCTGAAGTGACTTCATAATACCTCTTTGTCACTAAATGGAGTCCTTTCTTCTAGGGCCACTCTGGTCACTATTGTCCTCCAGCCTGTGTGAAATTCATTTTGACAACCCTACTAATTGGATAAAACCACTCTCGGCTGCCCGTAGGCCTCCCTCGTACCGATCACATTCCATCCGCTTTCCGCACAGAGGGAGGAGAAGAGTAACGAGGAAGCGAGGGGAGGAGGTGGGATTTAGCTCCTTCTGAATATTTATCACCCCTTTCCCGTCACCCTATTTATGTCCTTCAGACCCCCCCGACCCATCCTCGATTCTCCAAACATCACAATACCCCCCCCTTTAGATAAACACATGCGGTGTCAAGTGTGAGGAGTGCTGGGTTCAACTGCCCGCGCGGGCCCATGGCCCACAATGCCACAGCGCATATCTGCCATGCGGGAGGCCCGTTGCTCTGGGCGACGGTAACAGGCAGAACGCACCTTAATAGAGTGGAGAGTCATTGTAAAGCAGTGAGCCGGTGCATGGACAATAACCCTACGGCCCCCTGTGAAAGGAGAGATGTTTCTCAGAAGGGCCAGAGGAAGAGCTGATGGGGACAGCTCAATGGACAAGTGAGGGCTGCAGTTTTGGGCTGGGGGCAGCTGGATAGCCAAAAGTGGTTAGTGGGTGTGGGGGTGGGTGTAGGAGGGAAGCTTTAGGGATCCAAATTAGAGAGTGGATGTCAACTAGTGTTTGACCGAAGAGGGGGGAAATTGAGATGGTGGATGGTCGAAGTTTGCAGGCCATTTGGCTGAAGGAGCCAAAAATGGAGAAAGTACCGTTCAGAGGGAGAGTTTAGTCAAATTATGGCCTCCTTACAGATTAACAACACACTTTAATGTTCTATAAACAGAATATCTCAATATTTATGCTCTGTAATGGCTGATAATATATTTGTCTGCAATCAGAGGAAGCACCATTTCG